CCTCTCTCATCTTTTTAAGTGGGAGAATTTGCACAATTGGTGGCTGACTAAATACTTTTTTACCCCCCTGTAGCTCTGAATTTTATAGCCCATTTTCATAGAATGGCTAGTTGGTTTGAATGATAGTTTGGTTGGCTGAGTCTATATATAAGGGCAGGCTAGGACCATAGCTACGATAATTTGAATGTAAGAGGTCAGATTTACCTACATTTGCTGCTTGCTGCATTGCACTGTTTCAGTGAGTTATAATTCAAAAGTTTTCAAAAGTGCCCTTTCATACTTCAAATGATAATGATTATTAATATAATTCTTGTTAGGATCAGTTATGGATGAGAAGCAGTCTGTTTAATAGTATTTAGGCTTTGATGCCTGTTCCCTGTCATCCTGATCTTTCTTAACGCAGCCTAATAATTTAAAATAAAATCAGTCTTGTACACCAAGGATTATCTAGCTGGTTGGCTCTGATAACCCAATCAGAATAGTTGGATGGAGGCTTTTATAGCCAATGGCACTAGTGGTTCATCTTCACATTCACACTCATCCCAACATAACTTAACCTTTGAACATTTACTACACCAAGGATTATCTAGCTGGTTGGCTCTGATAACCCAATCAGAATAGTTGGATGGAGGCTTTTATAGCCAATGGCACTAGTGGTTCATCTTCACATTCACACTCATCCCAACATAACTTAACCTTTGAACATTTACTTACATGATTACTTGCTTCTGTTGAATAAGACTGAGTTTATAATACATCTGGCAATACATTCTGTGGTGATTAGATCTTTTGTTGATTATGCATATAGATTAAGAATTCCATTAAATCATAGAAATGCAAGCATCAGTCCTGTAACGGTATGTGGGAATGACCTTGGGATATAGGAGGCAGAGCTACAGCCAGGGAAATGGTCGGATAAAAGGCAGCTGAGCCCATAGAAGGAATGTGGGCATGGCAAATGTCTCAGAAGGGACCCTCCCTAGTTTCTTAGGCTGTAAAAGTGATGGGGGAAGAAATGTACTTTCAGATGTGCAAGAT